GATGCCTAAGTTGACTTAATTGGAATATAGGGAAGAAGTAGGTTTGATGTCTGCCACCTTTCTTGCCTTCCTGTTCATTTGAATTTTCGTTAACCATGTTGTCCTGCTCTGACGATGTCCGTCACATGACGGACGAAAGCTGAGTAAGGATTCTTTGGGGTCGCCGCGGACTATTCGCACAAATATACAACCACAGCTTCCGATGGAACCAACTTACGAATCCCTTCCAATCGCCTCTTTAAACAAAATGAAAGGTACTCCAACTTCATTCTAGTAAGCGATTCTTCGAAATCTAGTTTTTCTACAGCCTTTTTTGGATTGGATCTCAATACTTGGTGATCAGAATTTAAATTTTCCTATTACCGGTTTTCGCTTGCTTTATGCTTAATGATCAGTTAAACTATCACTCCTAAATGCCTGAATTATTATTCGGGTTGTTTTATATTTTGTTTAACTATCTTATTTGTAATCATCGTGCAACCTCTCAATTTCCACAAACATATGCGCATGTAGCTTTTTTAATTGGAGTTATCATTCGGTCGCTTTTGATTTTTAATTCGTTTATAGTTTAGATTTAGACATACATTAAAGGTTTCAGTTAAAGCTATTATCTTTTTAAACCCTTGTATGTTTTTCAACTCAAGTATTCTAAGAAAATCCATATGTGCTTCAGTGCTATTATCCATGTTCTTTAATAACTAATAAAAGAATAGGTTCCTTATTTATTACACTCTTGATCATCCTTCACTTTATCTTATTTATTTTTCTCTTACCACTGCTCACTGCCTGATATTCACAATTACCTCATCTCTTACACCTCTCTTCGCCTAACTAGCTCTCGGGCATAATTTACCAACTTAATGCCTGTAACCTGCAGTCTCTACGCCTCCTACCTTCTCGGCTTGTTCGATTTGCGGCCATTCGTCTTGGACCTTCTTTGGCCAGCCCCCCTCCTTACGGATTGACTGAGCCTTTGGGTGCTACACTGGAGCAGCAACACCTTGATGAAATAGGTCGACGAGAAGAGCTGTTCACCGAGGCCCGGCTTTCTAGCAGCCGGCGTCTTTATTCCTCTGAGACACAAGTTCTTAGCCAGGTGTGTTTTTAATATTATCATATAAAGTACGGACTAGACAATTTTATAATTTATGTCAAATGATTGGGTTTTAAAACCATCTCCAGCTCAAGTCTCCTTAGGTCCATATAATTGCTTCTTTCAGTTGTGCGTGAGTTATATGCTTTTGACAGGTTTTTGTATTTGATAATGTTGATAAACTTACGCCAGTTACTCACTTTCATTAGTCATGTCCATGTTACTGTGTTGTGTGCCGTTGGCGCTATGAGGGTAATAAACTGAGGGATCTCTATAATTTATAACAGACTTTATCAAACTCTTGGATTGAATTGGGATTTGTCTTTAAGCCAATAGTATCAAGGATTTTTAAAGTTTAGTTACTATTTCTCTCAAGAGATTTATCATTCATACGGTGACAATGTAGAATACAATAAATAACTGCAATGTAGTCAATAGGTTATATCATATAAATGTGACCTTATGTTTGGTCCAAATCTCCTTTAACTGTATTAGGTAACATCACGAAATATATCTTTATATAGAGAGGGCGCCTTTCTGAGTTCCAAGATTTCCTTTACTAACTTAGTTGATTTTTTAAAGTAGTTTGACATCGTTTTTCTAACTTTCTTGCATTGCAAATGCGACCTCAATGGAAACACCTTGTTTGAGTTCTCTGGCATGTCAATAATAGCAATTCCCGGCGCTGAAACATGAACTTTGTATGATTTTACAAATCTCGCATCCTTTATTCATTGGCATATTTTCTTCAATTATTTCGAAAAACGCGATAAATTTTCCATTTTGATTTCATACTCATACATTCCATTTTGGCAGACAGTAAGCACACTTACTCTAGAGAGATCTGGCATTGGGTAAAATTGGTCTCGCGGAATTCATAATGTGGTGTAAGATATTTCTCCTGTTTTACAACGGTTACATCCAAAAAAAATTTTGCAACTTAGAATTAGTGTAATTCTCTAATATTTGAGCGTTCTTTGGATTTACAAAATCTCAGCATGGTTACATGGAATGCCATTGATGTTTATTTATTTGCTTATTACTCTAATTTAACTTTTTCAAATTAAGGCTCTGGAACTGTGGCTAACTTAGAACAAGACAATAAATCTAGCCAAATGAGCTCAACTGTGTCTATTATGCTAATGGAAAAGAATAGGAAGTGTAACAGGGTTTCGATGAATCTCATAAGGTTACATTGTTAGGGAGACTTACATTTCTCATAAAAGTACATGAAAAATGGCAGATATTGCATGTAGACGCTAACAGACACACACTCATATACACTAGAGTAAAAGTGGCATGATCAATATGAAGGATACTTGCCCAAACCATTCTATATCTATATTTGTCTACATTTTCGTTTTTTGGTTATCTATAAAAGGTAAGATAGAACTTGATAGTTTTCTTGACTTAGTGTTAACGTGAGACTCTTATAAAATGAGTTGCAACCTTGATGATGTCCATTATATGATAGATCAGCCCGGTTTTACTCGAAACGAGAGGGGATGTTTCGTGGACTGCGTCAACCTGAAGGTTGTATTCAAGCCGAACGGCTGCAGTACAACGTGAATCATCTGTCGTTTTCTGGTGAGATCGACCTTCTAATCTGTTCTTCTGTCACTTTCATACGAAATGAAAGTCTCCCCAGTAACGGATAAGAGGCCTATTTTCCTTAGTGTTATGCTATCAACTGATATTCACGAAACTCTTATATGTTGGTTTAGAGACACACGTAATTCAATAGTAGTAGTATTGTTATAACACTCGATCAGGATCTTCTTACTCTCCATCTCGGGGCTACTTACAGAAAGCCTAACAATATAAGAGATCTAGTCACCCTAGGTTGCGTTAACTGATGAAGGGGTGATGGGTAAATTTTTCTACAATTATATGAGTGGGTCTAACAATGCCATTGATTTTCAACTAGCTTTACCCTCAATAATGTGGGCTGCAGTTTAGATCTTGGACTTGAAGTCCTTCAAAGTAGATGCAAAACCGATATTAAAAGCAATTTAACCTCACCAAGGCCATGCGAAAGGTAGATTGGAACAAAAAGATTAAAAACCCACTGATTTAGCTATATAAGGTGCTGAATTATGGACGAGGATACATTGCTATGAATACCGAACTTCCACATATATCATCTATTAACAGTGTCTGCCTTACTTTCGATTGATGATTTGTAGTTCGTTAAAAAGGTAAAATATCTCTAACTTACGAGAGAGTATTCATTAAATTTTCCATTGCTGTAATAGCATGTAAAGACGCAGTA